CTACACCAGGAAACTCGGTGTCCTGCAGCAAATAAGAAGGAAGTCTTATCATTGGCAATACAAGACATAAAAATGTTCTCATGTTGTGTAGAAAGATTCCAATCAAATTTGAATTTTTAAAGTTCCTTGGAATTTTGGCCAAAAATCCCTGTACTATAGTAGAGAGTATTTCGTCAAAAATGACTAGGAGAGGATTCCCTATTTTTATAATTTTTTCTAATACAAATACATGTTCTTATGTTGTGTAGAAAGTTTCAGCTGATTCTGATTAAAATTGGATTTTTTTTTGCAAATTTTCAAAGTTGCTCCAAAATCAGGTAAAAGTCCCTGTACTATAGTACATGGTCTTGGGCCAAATTTTGCCAAAATTGAAAAGGAGAGAATTTTCCACTTTTATCACATTTTCTGATACATATACATGTTCTTATGTTGCGTAGAAAGATTCAGCTGATTCCGACCAAATTTGGATTTAAAAAATTTTTTTCAAGTTGCTCCAAAATCAGGTAAAAGCCCCTGTACTATAGTACACAGAATTTCACCAAAATTAAAAAGAGGGAATTCTCAATTTTTATAACTATTCTGATAGTTCTTATACATTTTACTTTACACCCTTGATAATAAGGACATTCTACAATGTACAAAGTGTGTCTAAAATAAGTATTAAAAGAAAATAACAGTGCAAGTGATTCAACAGCATTCTACTATACATACATACTGATAGTATTTACTGCCTACTATGGATACGTAGGGATATTCTTGAACGATTTGTCTTATTCTAGCAAACTCCTCTTCCATGTTCTTGGCCCATACCTCTACAATACAGTCTGTCTCGTTCCCTTTCATTCCTCCTCCTCCCACTCCGCCTACTACTCCATTCCCGTGATTCATTGCCCTGTTTTGAGCTTCTCAATCTTCTAATGGCCGTAAGGATAATTCAGCTTGAAGAGATGATCCTTGGTAGGCAATATTAAACAGTTATGGTCTCTGTTAAAAGTATGGGTGCCAAATTTTAGAGCCAGAAATGAAGGTGACTTTCAGCCACCATTTTAAATAAGCCCCCCCCCTACTACAACAATAAACTTTTTTGACCC